CAAGATCTCCAGGCCAAATGGTGGATTGTTCACTCACAGGCAGTTGTAGACAGCACAACAGAATCCTGATCCACAGAAGAATGTCTCCTCTCCCAGGATGTCCACAGATATACTGGAAGCAGGCCACATCCCTAGGGAAACTCCCTTTCAACAGAATGGCTGCTCAAAACATAATCATCTGATCCCATCATGGAAATAACCACATCACAACAGCTTAAACCACACAGGATTGTGGTCCAGCCAAGTTGACACACAGCTCCAACTATCACAGGGAGTTTAGGATTTGAGCCGGCAGGTGTTATGGTGGCTGAATGTGGTTTTTCTATTGGATGAGGCAGGATGGAGGCGGAGGAAGAGAGAAGAAAAGAGAGAATGAAGAAAAGCTCCAAGTTTCCAAGAGTGGTTCCTAGGGCTTTGAGTAGGCTGCTGCTGATGACATTGTACTGTTACTCACAGGCCCACAGCTCAAGTTCAGCAAAGACTCCAATTGTTAGGGGGCTGCCACTTTCCGCCAGGTTCTGACGGCCACAAAAACCCTGCTCTCTCTAGACCCCTCCATTCCAAAAAGCTGAACTAGGATAACTGTCCCTATCCATGATCTTTGTCCCAGGGCCCACCCACTTGCAGCTTTATTCTCCTTTCTGCTCCCGTGCTTCAGCGGTACCCAGAGCCAGAGGGATCTCAGTTCCCTCCCAGTGGTCCTAAGTTTACTGATAAAAGCAGGTGCTGAAGGTAGATCTGTGGAGTGGCCACAGGTTCTCTGGTGCAGTGCATTCTCTCCACTGCCCCAGGGAGGTCTCTGATGCCCTTTCTTGACTGCTGGTTGGCACCTCCCTACGCAGGTCTCCTGTGCCCTTTCTTGCCTGCCAGTCAGCGCTCCACAGGGCAGGTTCACTTGTTTTTGTTATTTTTTTTTCCCCTCCAGGTAATTGTACTGCCCCTTTCTCCTTTTTAATCCTGCTCCCCTATTTTTGGCATACTCTTACTTAATGAGCTGTTCAGAGCACCAGAATCCCCATTTCAAACTGCTGCATCTAGTTTTCAGGCACTAAGATGCTAGAGGGAACTAGTGTGTACACTATAGGAGAGAGGCCATTTTCAGAGTCCCTCAACTAGTTCTTTTTGTACAGTGACTCTGTGTATCTTCTTTGGATGCTTCTTGCATCATTCAATATTTTTCCCATAGAATCTTTCAGTATTGCAACTGGAAGCTTGGATTTTTTTCCTCAGTTCTGTCAGCTTGAGAAATGCAGAGTGTATTCTTCCCTTTTAGTTTTCTAACTCCAGGTCTTTGCACATTTCATTGTAATAATTTACTTTGTTTTCTCAATCTGCTCTTTGAAATTTTCTGTTCAGCTCTTTTATCTTCTCATTTCTTCCATTTGCTTTAGTTATTCTCCATTCAAGGGCAAGTTTCAGAGTCTCTTCTGACATCCAGTTTGGTCTTTTCTTCCTTTCTTGTCTTTTTAATGACCTTTTGCTTTCTTCCTCTATGATGTTCTTGATGTCATCCCACAAATGTTTGGTTTTCAGTCATTAGTGTTCAGTGCTCCAAATCTTTTCTTCATATGTTCTCTAAATACAGGTGGAATATAATAAAGGTCATATTTCGGCTCTCGTGGACTCATTTTAATTTTCTTCAGCTTCAATTGGAACTTGCATATGAGCAATTGATGGTGTGTTTCACAGTCAGCTCCTGGCCTTGGTTTGGCGGAACATATCGAGCCCTCCATTGCCTTTTTCCACAGATGTGGTTGATCTGATTCCTGTGTATTCCATCTGGTGTCTGGTGAGGTCCACATGTGTGGCTACCATTTATGTTGTTGAAAAAAGGTCTTAGCAATGAGTAAGTCATTGGTCTTGCAAAATTCTATCATGTGATCTCCAGCATCATTTCTGGTCAATTTCAGACTACAGAAGTTTGTAAAAATCTTCAATTTCCCTGTCTTTGGCTTTAATGGTTGATGTGTACATTTGAGTAATAGTAATATTAACTGGTCTTCCTTGTCAATGTATGGATGTTATTCTATCACTGACACCATTGTACTTCAGGACAGATCTTGAAACATTCTTTGTGATGATGAAGGCAATGCCATTCCTCTTCAATTTGTCATTCCAGCTATAGTAGAGCATATGATTGTCTGATTCAAAATGGCCCAAAACTAATCCGTTTCAGCTCACTAACACCTAGGATATTGATCTTTATGTGTTCCATTTCATTTTCAACAACTTCCAGTCTTCCTACATTCATAGTTCATACATTCCACATTCAGATTATTAATGGATATTTGCCACTGTTTCTTCTCATTTTGAGTTGTGCCCCATTATCAATTGAAGGTCCCAAAAGCTTTACTTCATCTGCGTCATTAAGGTTGACTCTACTTTGAGGAGACAGTTCTTCCCCAGTCATATTTTGAGTGACTTCTGACCTGAGGGGCTCATCTCCAACACTATATCAGACATTGTTTCAGGGCTATTCATAAAGATTTCCAGTAACAGAGAGTATTTCACTGCTATTCATAAGGTTTTCACTGGCCAATTCTTTGAGAAGTGGATGGCCCCTTCCTTCTTCCGAGTCTGAATTAGTCTGGAAGCTCTGCTGAAACCTGACCACTATGAGTAACTCTGCTGGCATTTGAAATATCTGTGACATAGCCTCCAGCCTCACAGCAACACACAACCCACTGCAGTACAACAAACTGGCAAATGAGTGGTACTATTATTCTGGGACAGAGAGAGATTGAGGAACTTGCCTCAGGATGCGTAACTAGTAAGTGATGGTGCCAGAATTTAAACAGTTTTCTGACTTAAGTTTTTGTTCATTGACTGTTGAAAATAGACCCTAGTCATCTTCAGTTTGGTTTTTGGCTTAGCCACAGATAATTTCTTAGCCATTGAAAGACTTCTTTTTGTGATTTCTAACATGTTGCAGTGCCTAAGGCATTTCACTGCTAACCAGAAGGTTGGCAATTCAAACCTACCAGCTGCTCTGTGAAAAGACGATGGGACAATCTACTTCCAGAAAGATTTATCTCCTTAGAAACCCAGTGGGGTTCACTATGGGTCGGAATCTACTCAATGGCAGTGGGTTTTTTTTTTTTTTGGTTTTGAGCATGTCACTGGACCTCCTGTGTGCTCATGCTAGTTCCCTAGATATGAAGAGCTTTCTGTTTTCGACTGCCTATTTCATGTAGGTTGGGATTGCTGAAAGAGCCAGCTCAACATGTAGGTCAGCTTTACAAATAAAAGAACTTGTTTAATAGCTAATATTGTTAGGCAGATAAGAAATTAAAAGAGACCGTTTGGCTTCATATCTCACTTCTAAACCACTTTTTATCATGCTTTTATATGGCCTACAAGCTAAGGAATGTTTTTACATTTTTAAATTATTGCAAAAAAAAAAAAAAAAGAGTTGAGTACATATATTACTCCACAAGACCTGAAATATTTCTTGTGGGTTCTTAATAGGAAAACATGTAGAACTCTGGAAAGATAATTGCCAATCTGTGATCCCAGTAGATATATTTCTAAGCCATAGAAGTCAATGAGTCCATGACATAATTGAATGAATACTGTGGTACTTGGGAAGGCAGTAGGAAAGACTTCTTGGTAGTGTGCTGCTAAGGAAGGAATGGAGGACAGGGGATTGAACCATAAAAAGATAATTGCCAAGTTGTGATGTCATTGGCAGTCTGAAAAGCACTATGTACTGGTGGCTTGTGTACAGTAAGATTGATTTATATGCTGGTTAATCTAGTCACTGATCTTAAAGCCATTCATGTTCACCAAGTCATTATTATGTAACTTGGAACAGAAATATTGTCATTATATAATTACTCCCCCTGACTCCTCCCAAAGCAAAACACTTGATCTTAGAATCTCCTAGAATAGAGATCCAGGGTATCCACCTTTTGTATTCTCAGGCCTGGGGCTCCAGTTGCTAAGTTTTCTACCCTTAGAAACATCCAGCCCACCTAAGGCAGAGTGGTAGAAAATGTGAGAAATAAGAGTGTAGCTGTCTGTTGGGACGTTTAATATAAAAAATAAAAAGATAAGTGAGGGTTTGTGATCTTATGTCATCTGCTGGACATGGAAATTGTTCTCATGTCTGGATGTTTAGTTTGTGGATCACAGAAATGCTAAATTCTGGTGTTTGTTTTTATATCTACAGGATTAGAGATTAATTTATGGAGTGAGGGAAATTATGTGTTATTTTGGCATGGTGTCATGATCTGAAACAAGAGAAAAGGCCATCAAGTGGATTCTGACTCATAGTTACTCTGTAAGACAGAGTAGAACTGCCCCATAGAGTTTCCAAGGATGGGTTTGGACTTCCAACCTTTCAGTTAGCAGCCATATGCTTTACCACTGTGCCACCAGGGCTCCTTAAGTGTAAAGTAATAGTCTCTGCATTTTGTGAGCCATTTTAGAGAATTAATGAACTCACAAGGTGAAGGTGATCCCACAAAGCCCAAATACCAAACAGGTGGTCCTCACTGAGCCAAGGCCCATCCACTGATGTCAAGTCAGTTCTGACTCGGTAACTTTATTGGACAGAGTAGAACTGCCCCCATAGAATTTCCTAGGGTGAAATTTTATGGAAGCAGACCTCCTTTTCTTTCTCCTATGGAGCAGTAGGTTTGAAGTCAAGTGTTTTAACTTGCTTATTTATGCATAAATAAATCTCTGGAAGGGTACACAAGGAACCAATAACAGGTTACCTATTTGGTAGAAGAAAACTGGAAGGAAGGGAAGATGAAAGGAAAGAAAGATAGGGATGGGAAGAAGACTTTTCACTGTGTAGCTACAAAAGTACACACATACATTTTGAGCTATAGTAATATATATTGCAAAAATTATTTTTAAATTAAAATAAATCTAGTCACACTCAACAGATTTCTGTGTTAACACTCTTATGTTTGATGTATTTATGGTATTTCTCTAATTGGAGTAAAGGTCACAGTCTTCTTAATGTTTTTCTTATAAATGTTTAATTCAAGATTTTGGATCTGAAAGAGAAACTGGAACATGCTCAGAACGTCTGTCACACAGACACTTGTATTTTGGAAAAGAAGAAACTAGAAGAAAAAATAAAAGCAGCAATAGAAAATGAAGCTAAAATAAAGCAGCAATATCAGGAAGAACAACAGAAGAGGTAAGTAGAAGGAGCAAAGATCTTAGTTTCTTGTGAGTTAAACCATGACTGAGTCCCCCGGCAGTGTTAATTTAGTAATGTAGTATTTATTTCCTCTCTGTTACCACTGAGACAAACTCAGGCACACAACTTCTTTCACATATAGCACTTACCACACTGAATTCTAATTATTTGTTTTCTTATTTTCCCCTTGTCCTATATGACATATTATTTCTTCTTGTTTTGGCACACAATCAATGTACCAATAAATTTTCTTGAATGACTGGATTTCCTTTTTAAAATGATACTCTGGGATTTACCTTTCTAGCTCTCTAATACTATTGGCACAAATTCATACTAGAATGAAATTAGTATTTTGTATTTATCAGCTGATTTTCTTCAAAGAAGTTCTGAGTACTTTACAGGCATTTTATTTGTCATCAACTTGCTACATTTTATTTGTCATACAACTTGTTCCTGTTACTACTGTTGTCATATCTTTTTCCTAAACTTATTATGGTTATTACTAGGATTCTTATTAATGGATCCTGTTGGATGCCCTAAACTTTAGTAACTGATGCTTCTTATTTATATGGAGCTCAGAGTGATTCACATATATGTATTTTTAAATATGGCTTTTATTCAGTAAAAAGATACACAAATACAAACATGCATTATGTACCTCGGAAATTTTCTTTCAGCTACAGCTGAAAGCTCTTGTGTGGAATTTATAAATAGCATAGGTAATTAGTACATATTAAATGAATGAATATTCAAGTAAATGAATGAATAATGAATTCACTCAGTGAGCCCGTGGGGTACATGGGAAAATATTTGTCTCGCTGCCAGTTCTAGCAGGATGGCAGACTATGCTCCTGTTACAATACAACTAGATCCTGAATGAACTACTGGAATACCTTTTAAAGCATTGCTCACAAGAAACAAGAGAAAGTCCAAGAGCAAACAGTGAACTAAAATAAAAATGATGAATAATTAAGAAATTCTTTTTTTTTTTTTTTACTTTTTATTGTGATTTGAAATTTTATAAAGTGAATTAGTTTTCCATTCAAGAATTCTTACAGATTTTGTTTTGTGATGTTGACTGCAATCTCCATAATGTAACAGCACTCTTCCCATTTCCTACTTATATTAACCATTGTCATTCATCCTTCTTTCCTGTCTTTTCCTGCCTTCTTCCCTTTTTCCCTGAGCAAATGCTGCTCTTTACGTCTCGTATGGTTGATTGTTCTATGGAGTCTGTACCTCCCTGGCATTATTGTTTACCTTATAGGCTGTCTGTTTGGTTAGAAGTTGAGCCACAGGGTGAGTTCAGTTCCAGGTTTTAAGGGCTACTAATGGCCGTAGTCTTAAGGGTTCTACCAGTATCTATCAGATCAGTAAGCCTAGTCTTTTTCATGATTTTGAGTTTTGGTGAACAAACTTCTAAGTCAAGTGGCAAATAACAGTATTAGCCCTGGATTCAGGAGAGGAAGCCAGGAGCTTGCCACACAAGGGAAAATACCTGATCCTGAGACTCTGGTATTAAGCCAAGAACCTTGAAGGGGCTAAAATGTCTCCCAATAGGCAGCCCCCTGACTTCTCAACTAAGAAAATCTAAATTATATGTGTAGGAAAGCAATCTTAATGTAGATATTAAGAGTTCCCATGTATTAAATGTAATGAGATATAAACTAACAATCAAAAATCAAACAACACAAGGAGATTGACTACCATGAATGAAAGTCAGCAGAAACAACAAACAAAATATTTATAACAACTTCATCATTTATAAGAACTTCTTCAGACTTATTAGATCTGTATGCTGAGTAAATAATGCAAGAAGCAGGATTATATGAAGACGAACCATTAGAGGAGGGCTCATTAACTAGCTGCAATATGCAGATGGCACACCTTGCTGAAAGTGAAGAATGTGTGAAGTACTTCTGGATGACGACCAAAGATTACAGCCTTCAGTGTGGCTTACCAACATAGAGAAAACAAAAATGCCCACAAGTGGACCAATAAGCATCAGCATGATAAACAGAGAAAATATTGAAGTTGTCAAGGATTTCATTTTACTTGGATCAATAAACAACACTCATGGAAACAGCAGTTCAGAAATCAAACGACATATTTCATTGAGGAAATCTGCTGCAAAGAACCTATTTAAAGTGTTATCAAAGTTGTCACTTTGAGGACTACAGTGCACCTGAGCCAAGCCATGGTTTTTGAATCATGTCATAACCATGTGAAAGCTGGACAATGAATAAGGAAGACTGAAGGAGAATTGATGCATTGGAATTACGCCGTTGGCAAAGAATATAGAATATACCATGCACTGCAAGAAGAATGAACAAACCTTGGGAGAAATAAAGCCAGAATGCTCTTTGAAAGAAGAATGGCAAGAATTTGTCACACATACTTCAGACATGTTATTAGGTGGGAACAGTCACTGGAGGACATAATGCTTGGTAAAGTATAGGGTCAGTGAAAAAGAGGAAGACCCTCAAAGAGGTGCATTGACATAGTGGCTGCAACAGTGGGCTTAAACACAGCAAGCATTGTGAGAATTGTGCAGAACGAGGCAGTGTTTCATTTCTGATGAACCTAGGGTCACTATGAATCAGTACTGACTCAACAGCACCTAACAACAAGAACTTCAGCAGGTGGAATTGTCACGAACAGATAAGCAAACAACTGTAAAGTTTTTAAAGAAATAAAAGATGTAATCAATTAATTGGACAAGAAAAAAAGCTATCTAACTTTTTTGAACATTGTTTTCCTTATCTCTAAAGTGAAAATACTAATACCTATTTCATACATCTTTTATGAAGATTAGCTGAGAAGAAATACATAGAAGCAATTTTAACTCTGTAAGCGTTGCTGTTGTTGTTACGTGCTGTCGAGTCAAACCCGACTCATAGCGACCCCTCCTTGGGTTTCCGAGGCAGTATCACTACAGAAGTAGGATTACCCAACCTTCCTTCTGAGGAGTGGCTGGTGGGTTTGAACCGCCAGCCGTCTGGTTAGCAGGCAAGTGTCTTAGCCACTAGGAAAATGAAACTTGTAGGGAAATATTTTTCCATGAAAAGATTATTATTATTGTTTTGTAACCTGGAGGAAAGGAACCCCAATGTAAATACTTAGATTGTAACCTATTTTTTTCACTTAAAATATTATAATCACATTTACTTGCTTTTAAAAATCCTTCTGGGCTAGTCTGATCTGGGCCACAATAGATGGATCCTGATAGAAGGAGAGTAAAACATAAAACAGAACCCAAATTCCTAGAAAATCCAGACTTGACCAGTTGAGACTAGAGGACTCCCCGAGACGACTGCCCTGAGATACTCCACAAACCTTGGACCGAAGCTACCTCTTGAGAACAGTTTACTATGGAACAGATTGGCTCATAAAATAAAGAATATTACCAGTGAGCCCTTCACACCTTTCAAAAATGATCCATATGAAATCAAATGGTCAAGAACTACTCTAAAGCAGGGATCAAAGGGTAAAGAGACAGGGAAGCCACGATACTGGAAGCAAAACATCTGGAATGGAATAATGACAAGGTTAACACTTTGTGAAAAATAAAACCAATGTCTCAACAATTTGTGGAGTGATTTTTAGTTGGGAACCTGTTCACTGTGTAAACTTTTACTGAAAACAATATTATTTTTAAAAAATTCTTCTAGAACATTATTTTAAGGAATACCATAATTTAGTTAACTAGTTCTTTATTGTATGACATTTAGATTGTTCCCAGCTTCATGCTTTTACAAACAATGGCATAATATGTACCCTTGTACCTAAATTTCTATGTATATCTCTTATTGTCTTCTCAGGATAAATTCCAGGAAGTATAATTATAATTGCTCAAATATTAAAAAGCTATATAAAATTTAGGTGGTCTGGTGTCATAGTGCCTAAGGCATTTGGCCACTAACCAGAAGGCTGGCTGTTCAAACCCACCAGCCACTACTTGGAAGGAAAGTCGGGAAATCTACTTCTGTAGTGATACTGCCTCGGAAACCCAAGGAGGGGTCGCTATGAGTCAGATCTGACTCAACAGCAGTGACTTTTTATTTTATTTTATTTTTTTAAAAAAGGAGCTCTGGTGGTATAGTAGTTAAGGCATTTGGCTGCTAACCAAAGCATTTGTGATCAGAACCTCCCAGGTGCTCCATGGAAGAAAGATGAGCCAGTCTGCTTCTGAAAAGATTTACAGATTTGAAAACCCAGTGGCGGTCACTTGAGTCAGAATCAACTTAATGGCAGTGAGTTTTATATAAAATAACAGCAAAAGTCCTTCTGAAGTTTACCTTTCCTCAATAAACACTTTTAAATATATATTCACTTCTCATTATTCAAAGTTGTTGTTGTTGTTGTTAAGTGCCGTCGAGTCGTTTCCGACTCATAGCGACCCCATGCTCAGCAGAACGAAACACTGCCTGATACTGCGCCAGCCCCACAATCCCTGCTATACTTGAGCCCATCATCGCAGCCACCGTATCAATCCGTCTCGTTGAAGGCCTCCCCCTCTTTCGTCGACCCTC